CCCATCCGGGCTCGCCCCGACGGCAGCACCTCACAGCCGTGACCAAAGCCCAGATGAGCAGACAGACGCCAGCGGACACACGGCCGCCACCACACCTGGGTTTCTGTGCGACTCGGGGCCCCCGGTGTCCGCTGGGGCCGGGAAAGGAGGCGAGTTAGCCCTGCGCCCCCTCGAGTCTGCGGGGCTCGCCGGGGCCCAGGGCCGCTTAAATCCGTTCTGGGGAAGCTGAGCTCAAGCTCCTCGCCAGTGGGCTGCCTTTTTTTTTTTCTGACATGAAATCTCACTCTGTCGCCCAGGCTGGACTACAGCGACATGCTCACAGTCACCCCAGCTTCAACATGCTGGGCTCTGGCAATCCTTCCGCCTCAGCCTCCCAAGTAGTGGGAACTACAGGTGTGCACCATCATACCCGGCTAATTTTTTGATGTATTGTAAAGACAAGGTCCTACCAAGTTGACCCGGCTGGTCTTGAACCCCAAGTTCAGGCAGTCCCACCTCGGCCTCCCAAAGTGCTGAGGTTACAGGCCGAGCCACCGAACCTGGCCTCAAAGCCTTTTCACAGACCTGGGTTACTCTCCCCCTAGGAACCTACATGGTTCCCTTCTTTGCCTCCTTCAAACAGACCTGTGCTAACCACTCTTAAAATTTCCAGATAGGGCATGGTGGCTTACACCTATAATCCACTTTGGGAGGATTGCTTGAGGCCAGGAGTTTGAGACCAGCCTGGACAGCATAGTGAGACCGTTTCTTAATATAAAAAGAAAAAATTCAGCTGGGCTCGGTGGCTCAGCCTGTAATCCCGCACCTTTGGGAGGCTGAGGTGAGTGGATTGCCTGAGCCTGTGGGTTTGAGACCCGCCTGGGCAACTTGGCGAGACCTCATCTCTACAATAAATCAAAAAATCAGCCGGGTGTGGTAGTGTGTGCCTATAATTCCGGCTACTCGGAAGGCTGAGGCGGAAGGATCGCCAGATCCCAGCTGGTTGAGCCTGCGGTGGCCGGGAGCGGCCACTGCACTCCAGTCTGGGCGACAGAGTGAGACTCCAACTCAAAAAAAAACCAAAAAACAAAAAGAAAATAAAAAGAAAAAATTCGTCTGGACTCCGTGATTTACGCTTGTCATCCCTGCACTTTGGGAGGCTGAGGCAGGAGGATGGCTTGAGCCCAGGAGTTTGAGGCTGCAGTGAGCTATGATAGTGCCACTGCACTCTAGCCTGGAGGACAGAGTGAAGCCCTGACTCAAAAGAAAAGAAAGGAAAGAATAGGAGCACACCCAGGTTCAGGGGTTTTGGTTTTGAAGGTGGAGCGAACAGGCCTCCCCATGGGTGGGATGTGATACAACAGAAGAGGTGGAGCAGATGCGACCCAGGAGTCAAGGGAAAGGTCAGGCACTCTGTACATGCTGTGTTGAACTGTCTGAGATGCCCAGGGCTGCAGAAACCAAACTTGTATCTGATGGCCAGATGTAATGGCTCATGCCTGTAATCCCAGTTCTTTGGGAGGTCGAGGTGAGGTCAGGAGTTCGACCCTGTCTCTACCCCCAAAAAGGTGTTTGTTGGTGAAAATGTGGTGCCTAATGAGTGATGGTGGAGGAGAAGGGGACAGTGAGGACGAGAGCCAGGTCCTGGGGCTGACTCTGCCAAATGGAGGGAGAGAAGGCCCGAGGACCCACCTGGACCAGATGGTGCTGAGGTTCCAGACACCTGTCAAGGCTTCTTCTGCGTTTACAGGAAGGAATAAAAAAGACTCCTCTGGAGGTGCAGTGGATGCATCTTAGACTTAGTGTTGTTTCTTAAAATTGTCTTAGATTTTGTATAAATGTACTTTTTTCCCCGTAGAGGCAAGGTCTCACTATGCTGCCCAGGCTGGTCTTGAACTCCTGGCCTCAAGCGATCCTGCGGCTTCAGTCTCCCAAAGTGCTGGGATGACAGGCGTGAGCCCCCACACCCTGCCTTCTTTCCTCTGATTTCCCAGTGCACCCTCATGGCGGCCTCTCCCCGCACCTGCCAGTTCACTCCCCTCCCTTCCACCTGCTCTCTCCGCCCTGCAGCCCTCTCCCCTGACTTCGGTCTCCTCTCCCAGCTGCCGGTGTTTCTTCCCACTGTTTCCCCCCCTTCGCTGTCTCCTCCGGACCTGGGATCGCCGTCGCAGCCCCCGCCCTGCACCCAGGCAGGTACCACGTGGACTTGCAAGAAGCCGCCACTCGCCCCGCACACGCATCCCGCCCGGTCGGCT